TACCCAAAAAGAACCCCCACCCGTTGTCAAGACCTCCATATTCTCCGACACAGAAGTAGCATACAAAGGGCACAACTTACACGAGTCAGGTGGATGAAGCCCAGAACCCTCTGCAGCCCCCAAGCCCTCAACCCCTAAACTCGCCCCATGAAACCCTACACTGCGCCAAACCGAGGAGGGCTTCGGATTCGGAGGCCGAGTCGCGCAGCCGGACGATCTGCTGCAGAAAGGCGGCCCCGATCGTGACCTGAATGAAGAACCAATCAAGTTACGGTTTAGGGTTTAGGGTTTAGTGGGAATCAAGTTCATTAACATGACAATCTTGATGTTGCGGCCATCAGGCTTAATGGTCTAGGGGCGTTTTCCGCTTGGGGATCATCACTTCCATCACCATCAGCCTCGCAGCCACTGTCATCATGACGATCCTCTTGCTGCCGATGCTGCTCCCCCGCGCTTTGCTGCTTCTACAGGTGCGCTCCTGACGATGATTCTGTCCCTGCTACCTGCCATCAGTCCGCTACTGCTGTTCCTGCTGCTACGACGGCGACAACGTCGTCGACAACGTCGACGATACCGTCACCATCAAAACCTCTGGTACGACCACTGTTGCCGGGTCTGTTCCCCGTCCCACTCCTTCCAGCCAGGGCTTTCTGCACAATTAGCACAAGTAAAAAAACTTCAAGGGTATACATTTGGCGATTATGCCGACCACTATATCACAAGATTAGACTATATTGTCATGTCAGACTTGTCGGTTTCTCCGTACCGGGGCCACGCATCGCTCTAGCAAGCTCCTCAAAACACCCCGTAAGTCCTCAACTCTGAACCGAACACCCCAAAACCTCGAACCGGCACATCCTGAAACCCCAACCTCCCGAAACCCCCAAACCTAATACCCTGAACCTACCCTCAGCCTCACCCCAAGACCCTAGTGCGAAAGCCGATGAAGCACTATCCATGTCGAAAACCCCTGTGAAACCGGACACAACCCTTATAAACCTATTCCGACCCCTGCATTACATTGAAATCTCCCCACCTCCTAACACCCCAAACCCTCGAATCTCGAATCCCTAGAACCCTAAACTCTAAGTGTAATCCCTAACTCAGAATATGTAGAACCCTAGAACCCTAAACCCGAAACCCAAAGCCCCCACCTCATGATATGGGTTGAATCGGCCCTGGCAGAAGCGGAGCGCGAGGGAAGATTTGCCCTTGGCGTGGCGTTGGGCGCGTAGGGCTGATAGGTGTGCATAGGGATTTTAAAAAAAATTAAGGGCTGCGTGGACCCTTAACCCTAAACCCTAAACCCAGGGATTTATTGGCTCTTGTAAGGTAGGCTTTTTGCATGTTGTTTGAGGTTGATGGCTTCGAGCTTGGGGTTGATGGCATATGGTTTGGCGCCTCGGGTTTTGGGGTTCTGGGCTTAGGGCTTACACAGCTTAGGGTTCAGGGCGAAGGGTGGCAGGCCCTAGCCCTAGCCCCAAACGAGCTCTAAGGGCTCCCGGAATCGTTTCGTCAACTCGGGGGGTCCGGGTTCGGAGCCTTAGGTGAAGGCTGGGGATTTTTTTGGGCGGGGGGTCTTGAGTTTGGGGGTTCAGGGTTCGGGGAGGGGGGTTGGGGGGGCTGGGGCTTGTAGCCTGCAGTTTCGGATTGCGGGTATGGTCTTTACTACAAAGGCGCCCCAAACCCTAGACCCCTAGAATCTCATGCCCTTGTAGCACCATTTCGTCTCCTATTCAGCCTAAGCTGCTCTAGAAGAAAGAGGATAGCTGTGGATGTAGGAAGGTTTCAGAACTTTTTTTCGGCATCTTCATGTGGAAAAGCTGCGAATTTAAGCAGACACCCGAAAAGACATTTAGTACTTTTCAAAACCAACCAAGGCAGGAGGCTCAATAGGCCCGACTCTCAACCCTACTTGAAGGCTTTACGGGATGAGAGAGTTGTCAGCGCTTCTCGTGAACGCTCTTCAACGAACACATCGTGAAAGTATGAGAGAGGAAACCGTTTGTGGACGATTCAATAGCACAGATCCCTAGTATAGTTTTACTATAGGTCGCATGGTTTCGTCATGACGCGTCTGTGCTACTACGGATCTCATTCCGTCATGAGTGGCTCGACGTCGATGCTTTCGATCCGCGCAAGCGACTCGCCTAAGCATGTGCTTCCAAGCATGTCGGAATGGAAGCGCCTCAAAGCAATGGCCGGCAGCCCTCATGTACTCCCCGACGTTCTGTGGCCACTTCTAGTGTGCGGTAACTCCCAGATGCTTTCGATCGACACCCGGAATTCGATCCTAAAGGCTCAGCCCCCCACCCCACCAGAAACCCCGGAACCAAACCAAAAGCCTCGACCCCACAACCTTAAAAGCCCTATTGAAGTCTTATGCTACTCCTTATACGACCTTTCATACCCATATAGCCCCTTAGACGTTTTCCCTCCCATAGAAAAAAAGCAAACAAGGGACTCCACAACCCCAAGGAGCCAAGGGGCCACACCCGAGTCGCCCAGCAACACGATCTTGGCCTGCAAGGGATGGGCATCTGGGCTTACGGCCCCGGGAGCTTCGCAAGTTGAGTACAACTTTCTTCTGAAGGTTGCCAGATGGTGTTTTCATAGCGCTCTGGGACCTGAAATATAGGGCTGTAGAGGTTAGGTCCTTAGGTAGAGCAGGGTGTTGGCGTATTGAGCGAAATGTTACCCCCGTCGCCAGGTCCCGGGATTAGGGACTCAGGATCTCTCTGCCCACGGGGGTTTGATCCAAGGGATCCTTTTGTGATCCGATTCAGGTCGATTGAATGTAGCGTTTTGGGTGTAGCATGCTCCACATCAAGCCCTAAACCCTAAACCCAGGACACCTCCAGCCCACCAGCCGACGTTCAAGAAAGAAACACTCATGTCAGAACTCTTTGAAATCAAGACTACCCTGCAAATATCTATCTGTCTAAACGATAGCTTGTGAGGCTGCGGACCTCCATGGTAGTAAGAACCAGCCTTTCTTGATGGGTAGCTTAAGCCCTCAACCGGCACCCAGGGAAAGCCCACACGTGCAAGCCAGCACCCTGCGATGGGGAAGCCTCAATGGTGCTCCTTACGGCCCCGGACTGCGCGTCCTGAACGTTCAGGCCAACCTGTCCTGATACAACATGCAACGACCAAGAGCTTGAGCAATTTGCGAACGATAGTGATGCTCATGATCGCGATGAGGATAAGACGACGACGACTGCGGAGAATGAGAATACCAAGAATAAGAACAGGAATAGGAATAGCAATAGAAATAGGCAGAGGCCTACGCATAGGAATAACAAGAATAAGAATGGTTCATGATGAAGAACAGCAGCGGCACAGTGACTGATGGTGCTGGTGATGGTCATGATGGTGATGATGGTGGTGATGATGATGTTGATGAACGCGTTCATGATGATGCTGATGAAAGTGATGGTGATAATGGTGGTTGTGACGGTGATGCTGGTGGTGATGGTGATGATGATGGTGCTGATGATGACGAGGATGAGGATGACGATGACACTGGTGATGCTGACTGTGATGCCAATGCTGACTGATGGTCCATGTTCACGTCGATTTCCATGCGATGTACTGTGACGTGATGTGAGGTGATGTGGTGTGGTGCCATCATCCCCAGCACACCCACTAGAATTCCGGAACCAGCACCAGCACCAAGACCAGCAAAACATCGCCACCACATGATATCCTCGTCGGCGTTTTCGCCGTCGCCGCCATCATCATCATCACCATCATCATCATCATCACCATCATCATAATCATCATCATCATCATCATCATCATATCCACCATCGCCACCAGAATCATCTCTCTCTCGCTCGGATCGCAGCATCTCGATGAAACGCCCTGCTTGGACAAACACGATGACGTGCCCGGTACCTCGTGGGCACTGTGCACATCCCAAGAGAACGTAAAGTGACGACCACACCACACCACCACCATCATCAACACGATCATCACCATCATCACCGTCCACTGTCAACACTACCCTGTACTCGCCATCCTCTTGGACAATTGATTTCCACTATCATCGTGATGAACGTCGGGATGAGCTGGAGCACTTTTACCACTCCAATATCAGAATTCCTGGATGCGGTCGCCCCGAGTTCTGAGAAACGACCCCGTTTGGCTTCGGCATCTGAGGGCCCGTGCAAGCCTAACTCCCGTAAGCCCTAAGCCCAGAAGCCTTAGCCCAAAACCTTGAACCCTAAACCGTGAACTTTAAACCAAACAAACTCTAGACACCCCTTTACCCAGGCCCACACTTCGCCACTGTGAAGGATGAGATGGAAGGATTATTCGACCGACGAGTACAAAACGGCTGGGGCATGCTAATGGCATCAGTAGGGCTTTGGGGATCAGGGTGCGTTTTGCATTTCGGGCTCTAGACTTCTTCGGATTTCGGCAAAAATCTCCGCAAGAAACATGACAGCTATGAGGATCCCTCTGTTATACGCCATGGGGAACCGAAAACCAGCAATCCGCATTAAGGCCCGTATATCATAGAAGCTTTGCAGTAACCGCTCCAGAACCCCCTTAAAGGCTCCGTTGTCTTGAGAACGGTTGAGCCCCCTAAAACCCGATCCCTGAATCCCAACACCCGAAACCTCTCAACACCGACGAACAAGAGCGCGAGGTGATTATATGTGTGTGTATGTATATTCAACCTGAAACCACTATCTTACTCTTCGTATATTGAAGTACTATACCTTTTTTCCGCCAGCACCGGCCTTGGCCACCCGGCTTGGCACCGGCGCAGCCCATCGCTTGGCCCTGCACGTGTTGCGCAGCAGGCTTAGGGTTTAGGGGTGGCGGGTTGAAGCGAGAGGCGAGAGAAGGAGTTGCAAGTCGGTTCCATGTCATGTCCTGCCTCAGCGACAGCTGAAAGGATACGCTTTGGCGTAAACTGTTGGGTTTCTGGGCAGCTAAGGCTTCGGATCTAGGGCATGGGCTCCTTGTGAATAGGATCTTGTCATGTAAGAACTCTGAAGATGAAAACGCTCAGCAGATCAGGCAAGTCAACGTCGAGAGAACAAAGGGTCCACCCATGACACCTACAGTATAGTATAGGATAGTATAGTATAGTATGGCATAGTATAGACTATAGACACAATAGTATAGAATAATACACTCTAGTATAGTCTAGGCTCACAATTCCGTGCCCAGGACTCCCGGCACTCAGCGAGCAGTGGTCAGCTGCAGGACTCAGAATGCAAAGCCATCAAGCAGTTTACACATAGCGATAATTTCTATATAGGGTTCAGAGCTTAGGGTGTAGGGTAGAATGACCAGAAACTCAAGCCTTCCCTAAGTCCTACACCTGCACCCTGACCTTTTGCCCGTCAGAAGGCCCCCCTCCCGAGTCTGCCAAGGGCATGTCTGTCGGTCTAGTCTCCAAGATCAGACTTTGTCTTCGCTCACGTCAAGCTCAGATTTAAGGCCTGTATAATTCGAACCGGGTTTTTTGGGGGATATCATACTATACTACAATGATGTAGCATGAGGTGATGTTATTACTAAGTATTGACTTCTACGTTAGATGCAATGCGCGAGGCATTTTTCTGTGCTAGACGTGACCCTGAGCCTTCAATCCAAGATCGACCGACCGTGCCTCTTTGAGCGCCCCCCCTTCGGTGGGACAATGAAGTTGCTGGGGCCGAACAGGCAGCGAATGTGCAGAATGTTGCAGTAACCCGGAACCCTTTCATGCCAATCTACTGACCCTGCCAGGGCAGACTTGGAGTCCTTTCGCCAGGAAGCTCAGCGTGTGTTCGGAATCGCAAGTGGCTGGCATCCGATGGGCAGAGGCTGCAGCACGATCGACGAGCAGCTGGGGTAGCAATGAACACATCGAAATGTCAGCAGTACGACTTTCGACTTTCAGGGCGTGGGATCCAAGTCGGATGCAGCCTAACACATGCAATAATTAAGGGGAAACAAGGGGAATCAGCTCATGACATGTGATGTTGCCGAGAGCTGCGTATGGAGCTACAGCGCACAGCGCCTGTACACCCGGGCACTGTAGATCGGCAACAATCAAAACGCAGCCTGATCCCCGACACCGGAGCCTGAAAGCTCCCCTGACAAAATCAGAAAAAGAGACGGAGTCGGACAAGATGGGGCTCAAGAGCTCGGAAGGAGCGAACAGGGCGCGGAAGGCCAAGAGAAAGTAAGAGTCCAACACATGAAAAGACAGTGATGCCAGCAAGAGTGTTGTCTGGCCACCCGTCTACATCCAGGCACTCTGGACATTGACTGGTTTTACCAAAGGAGGTATAGGTTCCAACACCAATGTCATTTGCAGCAAAGACTTTGCCATATCCTTCTCTCCAGCGGGAGGAGAAGCCCCTCATATGTGAGCCAACGCAAGAGAGTAGAGGCATCACGAAATGAGGAGACATCGGCCTGCTGCACTGTAGGGTTGGGGACTAGCCAGTCAATCCACGAAACCCGAAGCAAAAATCTTGAGGCCTTCTCGTGCCAAACTACCCATTCAACGGGCCATTCCTCATCTGCAGACAACGTAGCCGTGAGCCTTTCATGCCATGCGGCTGCAGTTGCTCGTAGCCGTGGAATCTGCAGGCAGTTTGGTATGAATGCCTCTATATATTTATTGACAACCTCATGATAAGAGGCTAATAGCCCAACTTCGCAACAGAAGCATTCTTCGAGCCTGCAAGTATGGAGTCCTCTGGTCTCTCTTCCTCGAAGAGAACCTGGTTGTCAGCCCAAGTGCCTGGAGGGCCACGTGCCCTCACAAAAGGCAGCTGTGACGAGCGACCATTATGAAAGGCCCTGCTTCCAATACCGGGGGCAGGAGACACTGTTGCGCCTTTCGCAAGCAAGGCGGACTTGCAGGATCTTGCGTATCTGACATGGTTACATAGCTGCTCTGTGTTTGGATAATGTCGGAGGCAGACCGGACAGGTCTGGCCTGTAACAAGTCCACGCTCCTCTCTTACACGGCCATGAACCTTGAAGGCATGGTGAGACCATGCCCTAACATCATTGAAAACTTGTCCACCGAGGGAACAGAGTTCCATTGCAACGGTTCTTGAAGCCTGCGAAAACTTCAAGAATATCTGGTGTAAAGGCGTCTTGATATCCCGGACTAAAAAAATCGGCTGGTATAATATCACAGCCGGCCGCCCTTCCGGACGGTGAAGCCCGTAACCCTCTGGGTTCATGCGATAAGGTCATTTGCTTCGATCTCATAATCACCAAGGGCCTCAGCACTCTGGCGGCCAAAGCACCCTTGTGCGATTTGAAGCGGTGGGCAAGGCTTCCCTGCCTCAATGGCACTGAAATGCCTAATCCGTCTTTCCTCAGCCTGTTGCGTGTTGGTCGCTATCTCCCCGTTCTCAAGGTTTATGGCTGGTATGGCTTGCATTCCTCGTTGTTTGCGCTTTGGTGGTCCAACAAGCGGGCGAAGCTTATCAACTGTGGAATTAATGGATGAGGCAGTTGCAGCGCGGGCAACCTCAGTCAAATAAGCTTGCCTGTCCTTGACGAGGGACCCTTTACTCCTCTGAGCTCTGTCAGGGCTCGGCTGAGTTGATCAACGCGACAGAGGAGCTCAGCGATAGAGGACATAAATGCCTGGGAGAAACAACACCCTTACCTCCAGGCTTTGTAGGCAACAACAATGCCTGAAGGCCCAGGTGGAGCTGGAGATAAAGGGCCTTCGGCAACTGGTACGCTTTGCTGGAAAGGCAATGGCGAGGTTGTCTGCTATGTGGCTGGCAAATGCATGGTAGTGCGAGCGCGCATCAACCTCCCCAGGTATGTCAGGAAGGGTAGCGCAGATAGCATGGATGACCTGGGCAGATTCCGGCTGGTGGAGCTTGGTCACATCTATCTTCGGCACACTATGGCGTCTGCTGACGTCCTGTCTCATAGTGGCTCTGAAGTCAAGAGACACGGCGTAGCGATCTACGCCAGTCTGGGCAAAATCTATCCCGCACAGTACACGAACCGGAGCTTTCGATCCGCCAGGCAGAGGGCAGTGTGCACCGTGACCTGGCTGGGACCCGTAGGTCCAGGCAACCTAGTCTAGGAGTCTAGGAGATGGTAAAAGGCAGCAGGCGGGCCCGCGCCTTCTTCCCAACACAGATCGCCAATCCGGCCCCGCCACGGTTGTGTCTGTCTGAGATTGAGGTCGCCTGGCATGAGGACATGGTCAATCACATATTCTCTCCATCATCTTTCCCTATGTGGATCAGTGGTGGAGGGAGCGTGGCAAACGACAATAATGAACTGTAGGGTGAAGTAGACCGGTCGTCCGGCCTGCCATGCAAGGGGATGCGGCGTGATATCCATAGCTCAACCCCTAAGCATCCCTTGCGGTCGGCAGCGGATGTATATCTGATGTGTAACTCTGAGATCACAGTCTCGGTCGCTTTTGCCCTAGTTTCTTGCGTGCTTATCAAACACCGGCTTGATCTAACTGCAGTCGGATGTATGGCACTCTTCCAAGAATGCCCTTCGCCGCATTCTCCTCAAGCGTCTGAACCTTGATCGTGACTGCAGTGAAGTGCAACTGCAAGCTACAGCTGTCTTCTCTTTGATCACCGGATGGCTCGGCAGGGCTGAGATTGAGTGAGGAACTTATGAACAGCAGAGGGCTTGTTAGCCGTACGGCGGTCCTTATTCACTAAACATGGTCCCTGCTGCGTGGGCCAGGCCTTAGGGTTTTTGGCGACCTCACAAATGAACCAAATCCACTCTATGGAACCATCTTCTACCCATTTTGTTAACTCAAGCTGGGACTCAGGGATACAAGAGTCCCCAAGCTGATGTCCTTTGGCCAATACATCAACTAGCTCATTGTATGGGTGCCCCGGATGCGCTCTTGCATGGGATTGGGCATGAAATTGGACATTCCTTGCTGCCTTGGCTGCTTGCGCTATGGCTCTACATGCTCTGGCGAGAGGTGCCTCAAGGCCCCCCTACTTGCCAGAGGTGTGGCCAGAAGCAACAAGTGAGTCCGCATATGGAAATGGAGACGTGCGAGTTGGACAATATCCAAGCAACAGCCCAGAATAGAGCACTGCATTCAGCTTCCAAGGCAGAGTGAAATCCAGCTCCGCTGAGGGCTGGTTCAGTCTGCAGCTTGACCTGTCCGCGCGTCCAACCCCTAAGCCGGTCTCCGTCATCGTACCGATATATAACACAGAACCCCCAAGCCCTGCGATTTCCGTCATAAGATCCATCAGTGTAGATGTCAGTGTGCTGAAGGACACCGTGGGGCGTGACTGCACCTGCATGTGAGCCTAAAGCCTCGATGGTCGCAGGATGCAACACAACACACGCAGGAATGCTACTGTCCAAGATCCATGCATGTCGGATGAGAGGCATAACATCGTCCAAGGTCTTTCCAAGGCGGATGGCAGGATCTGCCAAGCTATGTTGCACATGGGAAGGCAGATGAGATTGCCGCTTGAGGGCTACTATCATGCTGCCGCCAGCTTTATTATCTAAGTCAACAGTGATTGAATTTCTTTGTGCCGCAGTACCATGAAACTCCTGCAGAACCTCTAGGAGCGTGCAGGCAAGGAGAAAGGCCTGGCTATCTGGTTCACGTATGCTATGCTCAAGCAGAGTTGTCGGCGCACTGACGTCGAGACAGGCGAGCTCCTCTGCTGAGGGACTGGCATCTCTGACAACGTTCTCCTCTTAATGTCTGGCCCTACGTCGAAGGACACTGCGACACGGTGTCGGGACTGGCCTGCACGGCCAACCGAGGCATTATCGGTATTTACCCC